CAACCCAAGTGCCCATCAACAAATGAATGGATAGAGAAGCTCTGGTATATTCACACAATGGAATACTATGCTGCATTGAAAAACAAAGAACTCATGAAATATTAAACAAAATGGGTGACCCTAGAGGACATTATACTGAGTGAAATATCTCAGTCACAAAAGGACAAATATTGCATAGTGCCACTTGCAAAATGGGACTGACATCAGGTTTGGAGGCAACATAGAAAAAAGGAGATAAATAATGAAACAGATGAGGGAAAGAACTCTTTAAAAGGAATATAGGATTAGGTATTATTTTCATGAAAAGATTACAGAAAAAGAAATGCATAGTAAAGTGGACTGTGGACTTGGGGGGATTGTATAACAATGAAAGATTTTTTTTTCTTTTCAAAGAGAAAAACGAACTGTGGGGGTAGTGGTGGGCAGGGAGGAAAATGTGCAACAATGAATGAATGGGGAAAACAATAAATGGAAGGTATATGTTGTAAAAAATATACATGTAGCATTAAAAAAATCGTTAATAATAATGAAAAAAGATCTTATTGGGGGAAAAAAGAAAACAAATAGCTCTGCCTTGGAGGAGGTTAAATCGAGTTTTTCCTTGGAGTCTAAGATTTTGAATCTCTGTTTCACATACTTTGGGCATGTGGCCAGGAGAGACGGGTCCTTGGAGAAGGACATCATGTGCAGTAGGATGGAGGGACAGAGCAGGAGAGGAAGACACTGGATGAGATGGATTGATACAGTGACTGTGGGAGTGGGGGGTTGGTGTGTCAGAATCAGTGAGGGCAGAAGCTCAGGACAGGGCAGGCTTCAGAGCTGTTGTACATAGGGTCACTAGGGGTCGCAGGCGACTCAATGGCACATAACAATAACAACAACAGTAGCAGAGACAGAATGGTAGCTGCGAGAAATGTACTGAACAGGCATAAGAGAATTTTTTAGGACTCTAAAACTGGGTTGTGGGGTTTTTATTCCTGCAATTCATTTATGTGTTATTTATGTACTGAAGAATTACTGAACAGTACATTTACAATGGGTGAATTCAATAGTGTGTAAGTTTTACCCCAATAAGACTACTAAATACTAGATTATTAACTTATTGAGCACTTAATAAGCAAAGCTTGCTTTCTGGAATTTTTACATTCTAAGATACTTTTAATATAGTTATGCACATAAGAAGCCCACAGAAATATATGTGGAATAAATAAGTAGAGAAAAGAAAGTAAATTATCCCCACCTAAATTAATAAGATAAAGGATTTTCTCTTCCCTGAGACATACTGGATGCATTGGGGAAAATTGAGGGAGGATAGAGATAATTGAGATATTTAATAACTGTTGAGAAAAATCATTCTCTTTATCTGAATTACTTATAATCCATATTACACCCTTGATTCATGTAAATTACTTTCTGTATTTGGATTTAAAAAATAATTTTATCAGGAGGAAATAAGACATACTAGAAAAACATTCTGAATATGTATTTTATGTTTAAATCACAACTATAAATTCCTTACCAGTATATAATTTAATGGAATTGCTATATGACTATAATGATTTTACTGTATTTATTATTTATAATAAAAGTTTTCATATATGATAACGTCTCCATTATTGATATGGTTAGGTTTAAAAGCCAAGTTATTGTCCAAAAAAATTGAAAGGATGACAACATCAGTTCACAAAGTGGACAATGATTATGTACAGATGTCAAATTACATTATCACATAACTGCCAAGCCACTGAGAATCATGGTCCAGCAATGTTGACACCACATTACATCATCAAAGACAGCATTCTTATCACAATGAACTTCCATTTCCCTTATGCCAAGTATATACTGCTAATATGCTAGAGAGTTTGATAACAGATTATTTTACTACTGCCATAAACATAAAATGCCAGATAGTCAGGAAGTTAAAAGTAGGTAAAATAATAAAATTTTTTAAAAAATTATCTTACCTTTTCTAGTTCTGAATTACCACTTGTATTTGCTTGAATTTTCTCTGGAAATATAATTTGCAGAAATGAATCTTGAAAACCTGAAGAAGGAATAAAAAACAGTAATATTTTCTTAAACCCGAATGAAAACTTTGAGTTGACTATCACTCATAGAGATCCTACAAACAACGGATTGAAACCTTCCCATTCTGGGCTACCCTCACAATTTCTACCATGCGAAAGCCAATTGTTGCAGTCGGTGTGCAAAGTCAACTCACTGAGGGTCTTCTTCTCTTTCTCTGACTTTCTACTTCTCCAACACGCCTTTTTCCAAAGACTGGCCCCTCCTGATAATCCTGAAGTATGTGAGATGATGTTTCACTGTCATTGCCTTAAGGAGTACCCTGACTACACTTCCTCCAACATACTTGTTTGTTCTTTTGGCAGTCTATGGTATATTCAATATAACTTGTATACAACACAGTCCAAAGGCACTGCTTTTTCTTTGGTCACCTTTATTCACTGTCCAACATTCAGATGCATAGAAGCAATTAAAAATAATGTATCTTAGGTCAGGACATCATAGTCTTTACTTGATCTTTAGCACTCTAAAGAAGACCTTGAAAGCAGATTTTCCCAATACAATACATCTTCTGATTTTTTGGCTGCTGCTACTGTGAATGTTGACTGTGAATCCAAAATAAAATTAATCTGTACAACCTCAATCTTCTCTCCATCTATCATGACACTGCTTTTTGGTTCAACAGTTAGGATATTTGTTTTCTTGATGTTGAGCTATAATCCATATTGAAGGCTTTATTCTGTTATTCTGTAGCAAATGTTTCAAGTCTTCTTCACTTTCTGCAAGCAAGGTTGTGTCAGCTGCTTAACATACAGCACATGCTGTACTGTGATGTCTTGAGATATAATATGATGCTGGGAGATACACTACAGGTACATCAAATACCAGCAAGATCATTCATGATGGGCAGGTTTCAGTGGAGTTTCTAGACTAATACTAAAAAGCAAGACTGACCACCCACTTCTGAAATAATAATCCTTTGGAAACCCAGTGAATAACAGAGGAGTATTATTGGACATAGTGCTGCAAGAGGACTCCCTCAGGTTGAAGTGTACTCAAAAAAAGTGGGAAGTATCTACAAATACCCATTAATAATTGGGGCATAGAGTGTACAAAATTTCAATCTATGTGGTGGCTGTGATGCTGAACACTGTGACACTGATGTGTCAAATGTGATAATGGTTATCCATGGCGGACAGTGTTTGGGGGAGCTACCCAATTAAAACAAGCTTGGAAGCAGGAGTGGCATCCACTTCTGAAATAACTTGCCTCTGGAAGCCATATGAACTTGGAGAAATGACGAAAATTATACCAGTGTTCAGGTCTTTCGTTCATAGGGTCACTATGAGTCCTCTACAACTTGATGGCACTTAACAATAACAACAACATCATAAATCTGTGAAATTTTAACGATCCAAAAATTAAAGAGAATACATAAAGATTGACATCCTAGGCATTAGTGAGTCTAGATGACTGGTACTGGTCCCTACACTCATTGTGAAAAAGGGCATTTCAAGGTCTAGCCTTAAATACAAAGCTGTGAGGAACAGGATACTATCCACACACAAAAAAGACCTGTTAATACAGCTATTATTTACATATATGCTCTGACCACTAAAGTCAAAGATGAAGAAATTGAGCGTTTCTAAGAACTTTTTTAGTCTGAAATTGATCAAACATGCAACATGATGCATTAATAATTTGGTGACTGGAATGCAAAAGTTGGAAACAAAGAAGACTGGTAGTTGGAAAATATGACCTTTGTGACAGAAATGAAGCTGGAGATCACATGGCAGAATTTTGCACAGCTCATTGCAAGTAACTTTTAACAAATACAAAGGAATTATATTCATAGACTTCACCTAGTGAACTACAAAGGAATCAGATTGATTGTATCCATGTAAAGAAACTTTGGAGAAGCTCAGTATCAGCAGTCAAAGCAAGATCAATGACTTGTACTTGTTTACAAGTTAAAACTGAAGGTGAAGGAAATAAAAACAAGTTCACAAGAATCAAAAGAGGACCTTGAGTGTATCCCAAGTGACTTTTAAAACTCTTTCAAGAATATCTCCATAGGCTTTCAATAAGTTTTGCTTATGTAAGTGTAGAGAGCTCTGACAGCAGCATCTACAGGGAGCTGTGCTACTACCCCAAAGTAGCCTTTCTGTGGTGGTTCAAAAGCATCAGTAGCTCTGAGGTAAAATATAGGCACTCTTCCCTTCCCTTTGATTTACAACTTTGGAAACCCAATGGAGGGATTAGCTATGAGTCTGTTCCAACTGGACAACAATGAGATTGAGAGAGTTATATAAGTATGGTAGATTTATAGCTGTGTATTCATTTTAAAATTTCAGTATGTTTACTAAGGGATTGATTTTGTTTTCCCTCCTCTCCCCTAAAAAAAATGTGTGGGTGGGTGAAGGAAGAATATGGCAGTTGCCCCACCAACCCCAAGCTTGATCACTTCTTGAGAAACTTAATGACATCTAAGCTGGTCATATCGAAGACCAGACCAGACAATCGATCCTGATAAAGAGTCTGAGCTTGGAAAAAACGGTGCTAAAACCTAACTCAATTAGCATGTCAAATTCTGAAAAATACCATCTTAGTCCTCCCCAGGACCCTTATAAAAAGGAAACTCCCAAACTGCATGCCATGTGGCTGGGTCACTTGGCCTCCCTCTCAAACTGCTCATGAAAGGCCTGTTCGTTTCTTGGGACCAATTTCTTTCTTTGTTTCTCTTCCTCACTCTCTCACACTCTTTTTTATATCTAACAGTGGGCGTGTACATAAAGAAAGAAACTGTGTTTAGAAAAAGCTCCTTCTCTGTAGATACCATCTGTAAGGCTGACATAAAGTTTTACTAGAATAAGGTAGATCCTAATCCCCTTTAAGTGGAAAAGCAGAGAATAGATGGAGGAGGAAGAATTACAGAGGCAGATGTAGCTACAACCCAAGGAGCATTAAAAAAAAAAACGGTAGAAGTAACCAGAAACTAAAAGAGAGGCATGATTTAGTTGCTCTCTCAGAAAAAGAAATTAATTATTCCCTTGTTGTTGTTGTTGTTGTCAAGTGCCATCCAGTCGCAGGCAACTCATAGTGACCCTATGAAGGAAAGTCCTCAACACTTGTGTGCCTTTCATCCTCTCTCCAGGTTCATAGGATTTCCGGAGGCAAGCTATTATGGAAGTGGATGACACTCCTACTTCCAAACTTGTTTTAATCGGGAATTATTCCCTTAGGAGAAATAAATATTGCTAAAAAATCAATTTGGATTTCTGACAGACAATATGTGAACTATAAGACAAAAACACTTTTGATCTTTTAAGATACTTAATGTGATTGACCACACTGAGACCACCAGGGATCATTTCAAACGTTAGGAGAGGTGGCTCACACAAAGAAGAGATCCTCACCAGGCTGAGACTTGAGAGAGTAGACAATAGACTTCGGACTTCCAGAAAGGGAGTGGCAATCAGGTGGTGAGGTGTGGAGGAGGGAGCTGCTTGCAGCTCACTTGATGACAAACAACTTCATTTGAGAAATCTGGTCTCTTGGCTGGACCATAGACCACCTAGGTCAACAATACACTTTAGGATAGGCAGGTCACACCCAGGCGAGATTCCCACAGGGCTGTACTGCAGATCAGAGAGAACTGGAAGGATTTTAGGAAACAAAAACTTTCCCGCTACACAGGCCCTGAAAGGATTTCTAGCAGAAAGAGTTGCCCACCCACATAAACAGAAAGCTTTAAGCCTACAACTAATCAATAGCTTCATAAAGTTAAAGAGCTATCACCAATCTATGTATACAAAACAGAAACAACCTAACACATACCAAGAAAAACTTTACATAATATCAAGAAAGTAGCAAGCAGCCTCAAACATTGTGAAAAACCAAAACAAGACTTCTCCTAAAGAAGCAAAACATATTGCACCCCTGATGGATACCCCAGAGACAAGGAGGCAGAAGAAATATGTCTATGTGAAGTTCTATGACCAGTACTGAAGAAGTTACAAATGGTGAAGAATGAATTGAAGCCATATATAAAGTGAATAAAGAGAGGAGCCAGAAGAACTTTATCAATGAGGAACATGAACAACTACTGAAGGCCCTGCAAAAGATGGAAGAAAGAACTGAAACTACAGATTAAAAAGTAGATAAAAATTGAAAAATCATCACAAGACAGGGTACCGTCTACACAGTCCTGGAAATAACAGAAATGCATGAAAGTGCAATCCTGAATATCAAGATTGAAATGGCACAAGTTTCGAACATGATGGAGGGACAAAAAAAGCAGAAGAGATAGAATAAGTGAGCTAGAAAACAAGAACCTCAATGGAAGTGATAGGGTGGTATTAATAAGTTCAGAAGTCTCTATATAGGTATCAGTTATAAAACTAAAGTTGCTTTTCTTCAGCCTGCAAAACTCATTGCTTAGCCTCCGAATTCTGTTTCCTGTCTTTAGTCATGTAGAGTAGTTTAATCAGTCTGTTTACCAGAAGAGGAAATGCATCTATCCTAGATGCTGGTGAAGCTGGTTCTCCAGTCACATGTAAACTGTGTCTTAATCCGCCTGTTTACCAGGAAGAGAACTGGGGCCTTCCTGAATTATTGATACACAGATGGGAACTGTCCTTTTCAGATGTAGAAATTACCTTTTTTTACTAACAAAAGTGCATTGTTAAATGAGCTGGAGTTTCACCGTAGTATATAAGGCCATGATCACTCCCAGACGGGGAGGCAGTCTTAGAGGTGACTCACTGTCTCCCAGATCTGTGTAATAAAGTGCATTTACGGATATTGCAGTTGTTTGTCTTATTGGCGACTGACTACGGAAGAACCCCTTGCGTTCAGTAACAGGAGCATATTTAGGGGAGGGGTACAGAGAGGAAATGGAAGGGAAATAGTGGGTAATAAAGTCATATGGGATAACATCAAAAGGAAGCACATACATATGATCAGAATTCCAGAAGGGGGAGTAGGGAAAGCACTGAGGGACTGTGGAAGAGGTTACTT